CGACTTACAGTAGAGGGACTATCCTGAAGTATTGCCACAACCTCACTTCCTGCCTCTTCTTGCACACAGTTTGCTGTTTGTTAACTGCCAAACGCTGAAATCATTCCCACGCCAGCTTCCACCAGACACCTAATCTTATTATGGCTAATGTGTAAAAATGAAATGAAAAAGCAAATAGCTGTAGTTAGTCACACACCACATTGCTTTCAATTACAATGTTTACAGAACAGTTAGAGGAGAAGAGCTGAGGTGAGCATGCTAGGTTTTTTTTGCTTCCTTACTCTAAGTTGTAATATTACACCTGACAGGAGCGGCTTACGTGTGCAGCCAGTCTTCATAGATAACACCCCCAAAACCTCAGGGTGTCTCAGTCACACTGAAGTTGCCGTTACAGGAGCCTTTTTTTCCCCTTCCCCGAATGAAATTAATCTGACTGATGATACCCAGGGATGTGTAACTCTTGCACAAAATAAAACGACTGCACAAGGTGTCCTATTGACATGTTGCACAGTAGGTAATCAGAGAGAAATGTTCCGTCATACGTGTAAATCCAGCACTCTACCTCTCTTTTGAAAAGGATAGGCACGCGCTGACTGCTGAGCTTCCTACTGAACCAACAAGTTGTATGAGAATACGCACAACTGCTCCTGCAGCTATTGAACGGAAGGTGTGCCACCCGCTGCACCTGCCATCACTCAAAGCAAACGTGCAGAGAGTGTAGATATTGGGGAAAAGACAGGAAGTAGAGACAACATTTAGATTGCAAACTATCATCTGCAAACAGGAAGTGTTTGAGACAGAAATGGAGACGGATTATTAGTAGTATGAAATTTGCACTATTGTTGCTCTCTTCTGAATCATCCCCTCACCTTTGACCCTTAGCTCTCCTCGTCTCCTCCACCCTATCCACTTCTCCTGGCCTCCCACAACACAACCAGGCATCGTAGGTGGACTTCCTACAGGAAACCCAGGGGCGCCACAAGGGGAGAATCTCCAGAGAGAAACTCAAACAATGACACACGGGAACTTCTCCTCCTGACTCAAGCCCAATTTAGGCAATGAAGCCCGTAGACTTGCTAGTGAGATGAGGGTAGGTCAACACGACAGGTTAAGACAAAAATGAAAAGTGTTGGCTTAGTGTGGGAAATGTGTGAGTGTGTGTCCACAAATTACAAACACGCTCAAAGTCAGCCTTTAATTCGTGCGTAGGAGGATTTCAGGGCCGTCTTTCTTTGTTTAAGGTTGAGAGGTTACCAGTGTCTACAGTCTTTCAAAATCCAAAGTACAGTCAGCGTAAACACTGACTCACTGCAAAACAATCACAGGCTATTATACCCCTAATATGATCATGTAATGGACCATATATTTATGCATGACAAACCTCTCTTATTAGACCAGTCCCCTAAACTATCCACAAAACTTCAGGCTTAAGGAGCCTGCTGGCACTGCATGTAGGTGGTACAAACTTTTTTGCGTGTGATTACAGCAGCAGAAGTCCAATCTATTGAACCCTGGGCAGTGGCCTCATTTCACTGGCAGTGGCTCAATCATAACATCTTATCTACAGACGCGCTGAGTCATGGAATTTGGCAGTGGCCAATAGCCAAGCAGCAGGGTTACTTATGGCTGTCATTGATTGGTTGATCCCTGAGCACAAAGCTGAAAGGGCACATACCAGGATCACAGCCTGAAGCACAAACTCGCGTTTTACTTTACTTTCTCATTCTTGCTGCTTTTTTTTCCTCCTCCATCTGACTAACCACTTTGTTGTGTCACTCTCTCACACTGTTTCCTCGTTCTCCCCTCATGTCCCCTCTCTACAGCACATCCAAATTACCATAGCCCATTAGCCTTGTTCCTCTGTTGTGTAATTGTATCTGGAATAGCAAAGCAGGGCCGCTCACGTCCAGAGGTCACCATTCCTCTGTGGCTTACATCCTGGTCCTTCATCTCCATGGTCACCGTGCTTCCAAACAGTGTCTTTTTTTTCCCCTTGAAGAAATATGAAGGCTAGTTAAAACTATCTCAATAGAGCCCTACAGCCACCGTTCAGACCATTAATCATATCTAAAGCCCTTACTTTCCACTAGCATTATCCATTAATAATGCATTTGTATTGGAAAAGCAATACCATAATAAGGTGGGCTTGGGAGAGAGAGCAAATGCAATCTTTATTACTGATTGATTTCAATAAAAATTACTTTCAAACTTCTTGGGTGAACCATTCATTATAAAGGGCTTGTGCACAGTGATGTTTTCTTATCCCCAAATAAAAACTCCGCACAACCACCATTGCTGATTTGGGGTCAGCTCCCTCATACATAATTCGGCCATTCAGGATACGGAGCTAAAATGGCTCTAAAACAGAATAGGGGCACACCACAGAGGCCTTTATATCAAGCTGTCCCCATCTGCAAATCTGTAATGAGCATGGGAGCTGAAACAGTGGGGAGAGAAGAGAACCTCAGTTCAACTGAGGCAGGCACACTTTCTAATGGAAATTCAGATACAATCATCCCAGAATGCACTTCTCTCTGCCTAATAATCGGCCACTAGAACAAGGCAGCCATTGAGAGGAGAGTGACTGTAATCTGGTCCACCAAACTCCAAAGCTGCCCGCTATAATTAGCTCCTTTCTCCATCAAACACAGGCTTACACTGACTCACAAGCAAACCTCTCCTGTAATACAAGGGGAGAGAAGGGGTTTTAGTGAGTGAGCGGCACATTTTCAGATGAGCGGGGAAATTTTCCATCCTTGGCATGCAGAGTCACCCTGCGATGACAGGTATGCTAGCTGTGAAATCTGCAAACGAGCGAGTGAGAGGCCACCGTTTCATTCAGCGGCACAGTGGTCTGTGGAAATAAAAGCCTGGGGTGACGTGGAAATGATATGGTGTGGGTCAAGTTTTCAAATTAAGTGATATTATAAGCCAGTAACACATCGTTCTTTATCAAGATAGCTTACAGTGACTGATTAAGAAAATGTTGCACACTTGCTCAAGCACTTCCTGAATGTCTTTCTCGTTTAATTGCTGGTCTGGTGTTGACAAGTGAGGACTGAGAATTTGATTTAATGTAAGGAGTAAATATCCCTTCACTGTTTCTGTTACAAAGCATGCCAACCCCCTGTGTTTATCTGTCCATGTTATATGGGACTGAATCTCACTTCCAGCACCCTCATCAAAGGAAGTATCCGCATCTCTGGCCTACATCCTGAAGAACAAAGCCTGCCCTCCTCTAATCCCAGGAACATGTTCTAGTCCAGGGACTCACGACACGATCCGCAGCCCAGAGGCAGACAGACAGGGGTGAGTGGGTATGCTGGTAGCTAGCCCGCTGCCTGGGCAAATGGCACGGCTATTAGGGGAAGAAGAGGCTTCCTGGAGAGGTGTGACTGCACTGCAAAGGGCCCAATCAAGCAGAGAACAGAAGTGCTGACAGCTGCTAATGCATTTACCTGAGAGCAAAGAGACTGTCTTGCCCAGGAAAGCGTGAGTACATGTGTTTACTTCCTCCATAGCGCGGTCCTCCCAATAAGGTTGATTAAGATCAAAGAGACTCATCAAAAAGCATTCAGTCACAGCAAATGCAGAATTATGAGTCAACATATTTTCCGGGACATCGTGTAAAATCCACATCATATCAACATATATCTGTTATCAAGTGACAGAGTTCCTGTTTTGAAAACGTCCCCTCGATCTGGCAGTGACACAGCAGTGAAGGCCCTCGCTGCACACCTCTGAGTGAAGGCCATATCACGAACCTTCACAGACATTCCCCCCACTTATCTCACTCTCTGAACTCTTTCACAGTCGATCTTAAATCAATATTCCAGAGGAAGGTAGAAAGATCACTTGAGAAATGAAACTACCTAAGTCCACAGGAAGGACTCTGACAAAAAAGGGAGTGGCAGGCAGGGCAATGACCACTTTGCAGTGGCAGTGAGATAAAGCTGTGACACATCGGTGACAAGTCCTGGCACATAAATAAATTACAAAATAAATCAGTTCACCTTAATCAGTCTATCTGTACCTAATCTTACATCAAGAAGAGGTAGGCATGCAGCACCCAGACAGCCAAGTTAAACATCCCCTACCTGGGGTATTTAATTGGTGGAGATAGCTACACATACACTGTATTCCCTGTCTCGGAAGATTTGAGTCATTTGTGTGACAGGTACAGTTAAACGGAAACCGAGCAGAGTTACCTCCCGGCAGGGCGTACGCACATTATCTAACTGTGTCACCAGGCAGCTCTGTACATGCAGCTTTGATGTTTGCAAAGTTAGTGGGACATTTAACGAGAGAGGAAAGAATCACTCATGACAAAGATTTCTTGTGTTTAAGTGCTTATATCATGACCTAAATCTGATCAGGGCCACAGTTTGGGGGCACTAAAATGCTAATCATACAAAAAAAGCCAAGGCAGCCACATTTAATAAGTTAGAACTTAGCAAAACCTAATTTATAAATCACTTCATTGTTTTTTTTTTTAAAAAACAGTCTTTGATCAGACAGTGAATTCAGCAAAACATGCACCACAGTCCAACCAAAACATCCTATTTCCTTTCTTCCAAATGAAAGTCCTTACTGCTCATTATATTTCTCCAGGCCTGACAAGACCAGTGCATTCTAGGCTCTGATGTGCAAACAATTATAATGTTTGGACAACATCAATTTTTATGACCCCCCTTTCTCCCCTGAGAACATTTAAACACCCACAGGGCAGCATAACCTAACAGGTTTTAGGTGTATTTTTCCACACTCTCATGCATCGTCATTAGAATAACCATTATTATTACTATTAAGGGCTTGAAATCCCACCAGCCCTCAGGGGGACTGGGGTTGACTCCCAGTTTTTTCTGTATTTCGCAGCACAAATTAACCCAAGCTGCAGTGTAGGCAGGAAGTAAACGCCTTAAAACTCAACATTGTTTCATATTTTCTATCCATGTGTGTTATTTAGTGTCGGGGAAGAGTGTCTAGTGTAGTCTACATACCATAGCATTCCTCCCTCTCTCCAGCTCTGGTCCACTCCTTTCTTTCTCTGGGTGCTCCTCTGCGACTCAGCCGGTGAAAGACTTTAAAAAAAACAGACAAAAACACTTCCTAGCAGCACTCACATCGATTATTGTCCGCTTCTTTACAACAAACAGCCTATCTGTCCATTGCTTCCCACATTGGGTGCTCGTTTTTAATCAGAAGTTTTCAGGAACGAGATGCATATCTGTGGAGAGCAGAAAAAACAACTAAATTCTCGTCAGGAAAAAGAAGAAAAAAATGCTGTTCAAACTCCAGGCTTTTCAGCACGGCTGGAAACGAGGAGAAAAAGGGGGAGGCGTTGGAACAAGCGCTGTTTCGGTGTGTTTTTTCCTTCTTGGTTCAAGCACCACGTTGTTTTGACCAATTATTATTTCCTTTGTTGTGTCAAAAATAAAAAGAGTCCGTAATGAAACGCGACCACAAGCTCTACCTTCAGTTACCGAAGCGCCGCTTTGTTAGCGCACAACAGCTCGTCCCAAAGCGATGTATTTTCCTTTCTATCGTTGATCCCCGTGCAGCCCAAATGTGTGACGGTGTGTGTATAAGTCTATTTTTTTTCAGCTTCCCAATAATGGCGGCGGACCTTCTCCCGAATCCAGCATCTCCTCCCCTGTTCACACAGAGCAGACAGAGAGGGAGAGTCTCGCCCAGCGGTTCATGGACACAATTACAACACACACGCACACACACTGTTTGTCAAGAGATTTAAACCTGACTGTGGAGTTTGTTTTTAATGATGACTCAAACTACATTTTAAACTTTTTGTTTATTTCTAATTTTGCACTAAAAACATTTTCAGAGAATGCAGGGAAAAAAACTTTGAGGTAATTTCATATA